CGTATTTAAGAATCTCTTAGGTTTTGTCCCCCTCCCCTAGTTTTTATATTATTTTTGCTTCCCTTTCCTTATGTTCATCTGTTTTATATCTTAAATTCCTCATATGAGTAAAGCCATAGGATATTTACCTTTCCCTGACTAATTTTGCTTAGCATAACATTCTCCAGTTCCATCCGTCTATTTGCAGATGGCAAGATTTCATTCTTTCTGATTGCCGAGTAATACTCCGCTGTATATATACCATATATACCACCTCTTCCTTATCCATTCATCTGCCAGTGGACATTTGGGCTCTTTCCATACTTGGGCTATTGTCGATAGAGCTGCTATAATCATTGGGGTGCCTGTGCCCTTTCGACACAGCACACCTGTATCCCTTGGATAAATACCTAGTAGTGCAATTGCTGGGTTGTAGGGTAGTTCTAGTTTTAATTTTTTTGAGGAGCCTCCATACTGCTTTCCAGAGGAATTTAAACTGACATCTTTCATTCTCTGTAATATTCTGGTAACACTTCCAGAAGCCCATGTGCTTGCCACAGAGGACAGGCATTTTTGGCGGTAGACCGGCATCAGCAGGGAGCCCTGGCTGGACACGGAAGCCAGCTTCCTGTGAGGGCGTGGTGAGGACACTGTCCCCTGTGTCGCGATTCACCCGCTGGCGCTGGCGTCCTCGGTGAGCTCATGCCCTTCAATGTTCTCTTCTGCGGCACTCTTAGCAGAGACCAGTCGCTGAGGACAGACTTAACTGCTGATGAATCAGTCTTACCGATGATTAATCACGTTTGACATGAAAAAAATGAGGTGGCTTAACTTTCAAGTGTAAATTTGTTTGCTCATTTAGCATCGTATTTTGTTTTCGGATAATGGAATCTCTTTGAAAATACTTGGATTTACACATCTGTCACAGAGTCAGTTTGCTGGTGTTTGTCTCTGTTGTTCTGGAACCATGAGGCTGTCCATTTGTTGCCGTTTGGAAGAATGGCCTTTTCTCTTGGTGTCAGGGCCAGAGTACAGGTTTTGGACAAGGTGAGGTGCTCCTGGCACAGGCAGGCGGGTGCAGAGGCCCCCATGCTAACGGGCTTCTGATTCATGGGGCTGTGGTGCCAGTGGGAGGCCTCACAGCGTAGACGTCATGGCTTTGGTGGAAGAAGACACTTCCCTGGGATGGGGGCAGAGAGGCGGGTAGGGTGTGCAGGGCAGCCTGGAAGGAAGCTGGTTCTCAGGGCTCGAGTAGGCGCTGCGCTCCAGGGGGTGTTTGCAGAGACCTAAGCTGCTTGTCCCTGACCAAGTCGTGTCCTGTGCATTCCAGGCACATGGTCTCAGTATCAGCTTGACAAGGTGTTGGTCGCTGTTTGGAAGACAACACTGAGCTCTTATCCAGCGATTACATTGCTTTAGTGACATTACGTAAACACGGGGTGTTAGCTCAGCACAGTTACGTTACTTCCGAGAGAGGCTGCAGTGATCTTGGGCAGTGTTGGCAGTTAGGGCCTTGTGCCAGCCCACCTGCAGTGCCCATGGTGGTCTGGGAGGCAGGTGCAGCGTGACTCTGTAACCCTCATGGCTCAGGATGCCGCCACCCTTTCCCGTGGGCTCACGGGGTTTCTGTTCAAATTCGTAGGTTACTAGACACTACTTTGGGTTTGACGGTATCACAGTTAAGTCAGCAGCAAGGGCTTGCAACGTGGAAGGATTCTTTTTTTAAAGTTTATTTAGAGAGAGAGAGAGAGAGACTGCGCACAAGCTGGGGAAGAACAGAGAGAGGGAGAGAGAGAATCCCAAGCAGGCTCTGCACTGTCAGTGCACAGCCAGATTTCAGGCTTGAACTCACAAGAGATCACGATGTGAGCCGACATCAAGTTGGACGCTTAGCTGACTGAGCCACCCGGGTGCCGCAGAAGGTTTCAACACCATAGGTCCTATACTGAGACATGTTCTTAGACTGCTGAGTAGCCCCATCAGTGGCCAGATGGGTCCTTCTGTCATCCTTTCCACCCCCAACATCTCCTGTCTGTCAGTTCTCAGCAACACTGGGTCACCCCACACCTCTGTCCTCCCTCCCTCCTTCCCCTCTTCACTTTGTATCTTGCCTGCTGCGGGTGGGGGAAGTCCTTCCACTCTGTGGTGTAATCACGACAGGATTCGCTGAGGGTTTCAGTCTTGACCGTTAGACTCCATGCCAGGCGTGGAGTTGCCCAGTAAGGATTTGTAGATAGTAAATATTCTAGAAGTTGGAGCCTTTATGGCATTTCAGATGTGACCTCAAGACAGCCCCCAAGTCCCATCCCATCTGCACACAGATCACGTGCCCAGCCTCTTTTTCTGTACGTAGGCCAAATGTAATAATAGCTGAGTGATGTTCAGAAGTGTGTATCTACGGAGCACGTGCTCTCAGGCATCACTTCTTCACCTGTAAACCATAGATGTTTCTGAGAAATGACAGTGCTTACTCATTTCTTAGTCTCATTTCCAGAAAGAAAATTTGTGATTTGTCTTCTGCTCTCAGCTAAAGCCAGGAGCCTCGCCTCAGCCACCCTCAGCGATGCTCCCAGCCGCCAGTTGGCCCCTGGTGGTGACGCGGGCATCTTTATAGGACTGCTGAGCCTCGCCGGGTGCCGGTGCACACCTGGTTCAGGAGCTCAGCTGGGAGACACTCCCCATGAAGGGGCCGGGTGGATGCATGAGTCACAGACCGACTCTCCATTTGCTCTGCTCCAGGCCTTTGGCAAAGCAAGGCGGGGCTGGCTGCCCTTCGTGGGGACGTCTTCTGTTCCGGGAGGTCGGAATGTAAACACATTTCAAAATAAAGCTCATGAGAAATCTTAAAGCAGTGATAACCGTGGCTGTGACATGGCTTACGGCCCACTTGACAGAGAGCTGGTGTCCCTCTTCTATCCCAGGCCCCCAGAGAGAGGTTTCGGTCTCCCTGTTAAGGTCCCTGCCATCCCATGGTGGCCAGTTTATGCAGGGGCTCTCTCATACCTTTGCTAGCTTCTATGTCAGTGTTAGAAGAGCTGGTCTGGAAAGCTGTCAGGTTTCCAAGCAGTTTGGCTCATAACTGGAGATTTCTTCTGCCAAAAGTGGAGGCTCCTTTGAGCTGACGTTTCTTTGACAGTCACGGTGCCCTTTCACCTGCAGACGAGGTCACTCTGACGTCGACCAGAAGGGATCTGCGGTTGAGCAAAGCCATCCCTTCTTGCTAAGGTTCTAGCTCAGAAGCCAGGCTGGCTGAGAGGCTGCTCGCTACCCCATGGAATCTTCCCCTTATCCCAGACGGAGCTGGATCGGCCTCTGGTGCGTGGCGGTAGCGAGGTTTTTCCCAGATGAGAGGGGGAGCTAGCCACCCTGTGGCCCACCCCTTCTCTCTCTGTGAGCTGTGTGCCTGTCTCACCGTCATCGTGGTGGCCGGTCCTCCTCCACCCCCGTGAACACTGAGCTCTGGGTGTTTGCATTTCCCGCTACCCTTGAGAAAGCCCAAGTCTGGCGCGCGTACTGGTTTTCAGTTCGCAGAGGCAAAGACGAATCACTTGCACAGGAGCCCAGGGGCTCTGCCGTCTGCTGCTCCTGGAACCCTTCTTCCCAGAGCTCTGTCCCATGGGGAACGGGCGGAGGGAAGACTAGGCAGCTAGACCGGGTAGCTGGCCTGGGTGTGAGCATCTGAGTCCAGAGGTAGCCAGAGCATCTGACACCGTGTAGAGCAGTGCCTGTTTCCACATGTGTTCAAGGTGTCAGGTCTGCTGGGGCCAGAGGTCAAGTGTCAGCAGAGCAGGCAGCCCCTTGGGTACCCAGGTCCCAGAGACCTGTAGCTCGCCAGGCACCAGGCCCTGCTCCTCCCGTGTACCCTGCTCCTGAAGTCAAGGGAGACTTGGGGCTTTTCTTTGTGTCTTGGAGATTTTAAGATCACAAATGGTGCATTTTTCAGTGTTAAGGAAAACGTGTGACAGGGAAGAAGTTTCCCCAAGGAAAGGAAAAAGGTCACAGTGCTCTGAATAGGAGGTCAGAAGAAGGTGCTTTCCATTTGCAGACTTCCAGGTTCACTGCTAGGAGGTCAGAGGTGGGAAGGGAGTGGGGTGGGGGTCGGGGAGGTCACAGAGCAGGACAGGGGAGCCCTGAGTCCTCAGGGAAGGGCTCTGCGGTGAGGAGGAGAGTACAGGCCGGTTGCACAGCCCTGGAGCCCTTCGTCCAGCCGAGCTGGCCAGGCAAGTCCTTTGTCTCACATGGGATGTGCCTGGCTTCCACGTGGCTTCTCAGAGCACTTGCAGGGCGGTGTGTGGATTCTCAGCGCCCCAGAGGCAGATGCGCCCTGGGTGGCTGTCCTACTGCTGGAAGCCGAGGGAGCCCCCCTCACGATCCCCGACGTTCACCCTCTTGAGACCACTCTTGTTTGCTGCCCTTCCTAATGCCAACAGACTGAAAACACAGTGTTTAGAAGTTGTTGGTGAAGTTCTCCCTTGTGGCAGTTGTGGAGAGAATCAGTTTGAAGCTGGAGCTTGCTTGATGTCCCCTCTTCCAGACACTGAGGCCCCGGTGTGGGGTCTGGGCGGCACCCTCGGCCGACACTGCGGGGCCTTCTGTCACCAGATTCGCAAGGGCTGTGGGCAGCCCTGTCTCCCTGGCTGCAGACTGGCTGACGGTGCCTGGCGCTCTGCATTCTGTGTGCTTTTAACTGAGCTCACGAGGCAAGTATAGCCCCCTGGAAGCCCGTCTGGAAAGCAGCGGGGTATTAACAGGTGGCAGTGTGATGACGTCTGTCTCTCTGAGATGGATCCCTGGAAACCAAGGCAGCTCTTTTGGGAATGATACACTGGTTTCTGTTTGTCAGAGTAGGTGTCCACACCACTGTCCTTGGTGACCGGGGGTCGCCCAGCGCTCTCGGCCATGCCTCAGAATTAGGAGAGCGGTTTGCCAGCAGCCCCCACGAAGGATCTTGAGTGTTTTTGGGTTGAGCGCAGGGTACTTTGGGTTCGTGACCTTATGTGAGACTCTTGTGCCTCTCGCAGAGGACTACCCCAATGGCACCTGGCTGGGCGACGAGAACAACCCTGAAATGCGGGTGCGCTGCGCCATCATACCGTCCGACATGCTGCACATCAGCACCAACTGCCGCACTGCCGAGAAGATGGCACTGACACTGCTAGACTACCTCTTCCATCGGGAGGTGCAGGCCGTGTCCAACCTCTCGGGCCAGGGCAAGCACGGCAAGAAGCAGCTCGACCCCCTCACCATCTACGGGATCCGGTGTAAGTGTGGCCTCTCTCTTCTGCTCACTTCCGCTGTTGCCTGGTCGTGGGAAGGGTCTGGCTGAGGGTGGGTCCTACAAGGTAGTATTTCGGGACCGAGTCTGGACCCACACTGTTGGGTTGGAGAGGATGCTGGCCTTGGCACTAGTCATAGAGCCGGGAGAGGAACTTCCGGATGGAGCATCTCCTTGAGTAAATATTGTGGTGCCTGCCCATGGGAAGGACATGGCGGACATGGGCCTCTCAGACCCTGACCTCACTGGTCCTCAGGCCATTCCTGAGGCCTGGAGAGGAGCAGAGCTAGAGCCTTCCCCATCCTCTGCTGACTGCGGCCTTTCCCTGGCTTCCCAGTGGCATGAGCAGGGTGCTGTCTGCTTCCTCTCTTTCCAAGAGGGCTGTTTATGGGCTGACCTCCCGACTGTAGCTAGCAGGTCTCATAATACTGGTCCCGATAACCTCACAGCCTGTGTGATTCTCCTTCTCCTTGAAGAGTGCCCCATGCTCAAATCAGTGACCCCTGTATACTGTTGGTGACATTTAAGGGGTGCAGGTGGCCCATATCCTTCTCGGCAACTCTCGCTTGCCTCTCACCCTTGGGCTTGTCCACTCCACAGAGTCTGCCCGACTCCGGGTGGCACTGGCGTGGCTTATGATACAGATGCGAAATGAAGCAGAAAGACACGAGACTTCGAACAGAAGGGCTGGGTATCCACATGTGAGACCTAGGTTCTGGAGGGTCACTGTGCTTGAATGTCAAATTTAAGTCTCCTCCAACAAAGGGGAGAGTGAGTGAGTTACCCGGAGCTCACTCTCTCAGACCAAGGAAGGGTACTGTTCCACTCTGATGGGACATCTTCCTGTTGGGACAGGAAGCCTTTTTTGTCACAGGAAACTCTGACATTGATCCACGAACCTTCTGTTGGGGACAGAGAGAAATAGACTTTTTCCGTAGTCGTAAAAATAGCAGGTACGGTTTTACATGTTCTCTTGTACTTTAGATTTAAATTGAACATTTTCTCCTGACTGTAGATCTTCCTGGAAGACACTAGGAAACAGAACCCAGGTCCCTCTTACACTACAGTGGCTCATCATCGTGGTGTCCCCATTTCTTGGCCCCCTGCTTTTTGCCTCTCCTGTCTGACCCGCTAGTGGTGTCCATAACAGATCCCGAGAATCCCCCTGGATGCTCTTCTGAGAGACTGTACGTGTAACCAGCTGACATCAGCCCCCAAGGTGGGGACAGGCCAGTTCATGGATGATGGCGGACTTTTCCTGAGGGCCAGGCTCTGTGGGCCCCAGGGTCTCTTGGAGCTGCTCAGCCCTGCAAGTGGCCGTAGACAGAATGTGAACAGATAGGCCTGGCTGTGTTCCAACAAGACACTATTTTTCAACAGCAGGGGCTGGGCTGCTGCCGTCTGCCAGTCTCTGCTCTGGAGCGTGATGCCGACCGAGACCCTCCAGTGTGCCTGCACCATCCGGTCTCTGGGCACATGCTGTGTGTGCAGCCTGAGAACTCGCACTGGCGCATTGACAGGATGCTGTGGGGTGCTGTGTGACCCCATGACCCATAGTGCCCAGAGTGGTAGGTTTGGGAAGAAGAGGGAGAAGTCGTCCCTGATTCCCTATGGCTCTACGTGCGGTCAGGTGTTTGTAAATGGCCACGGCCCTGACAGTGTTATGGAGTTGGAAGGGGAGGCCCTGATGAAGAGGCTCCGTGCATGGTCTGGACCAGGCCCAGGGCTGCACGGGCACAGTGGCCTCTGGGTGGCAGGCTGCTCTTCCCATGGGGAGCTGACAGTGCTCCCAGGACCTGAGGCTGGAAGGTGGTTGCCTCTCATTTGGAGATGCTCCTCGGAGCATCAGTCCAGGGAGTGTGGGCGCCCTGTGCACAGACCCCTCTAGGGACAGGAGGGGGAGGGTCTAGGCATGGTGACCTTCCGGGAGACTGCAGAAGGACGGTGTCCTGACAGGGCTGTGTTGGGAGATTGGCGTGGGGGTTCGGCCCGAGTCTGCGGCAGGGAGAGCAGATCGACTCCAGGGTCTCTGGAGACATGAGCAGGGTTTGGCTCAGTGAGGCCCAGAGGTCCCCGATGTCACCGCCTGCGTGGAAGATCGCCCAGTTTCTGTGCAGCACGTGACTGGTTTACCATCAGAAACTTCTGAGTTGCCAGCACAAGGGTTGTGTTTGCTTTGAAGCCAAGTGTTGGGGGCCCTGAGTGTTTGGGCAGGAGACTGGGCCTCCAGTGTCTCCTGTGTGTTCCTGTGAGGCCCGGGGAAGAGTTCTGGGGTGCTGGGCTGTCGGGGGGCTGGCAGAGAGCTGCTGCAGACAGCAGCTTCGTGTAAGCGGCCACGCTTGCTCTGTTTCTTTCCCGGGCCTGGGGGTAGGGGGTGGGGGGTGGCTCTGGGTGTCCTTAGAGTGGAGGAATTCCAAGTACGTGTGTTTGCTGTTTTCCCCATGTGACTTGCAAAGAAGGAAGGAGTATCTTTTCAGAAAGAAATTGCTAGAGTTGCGGTGGACTGTCCACAGCTGTCCCGGAACAGCTGGCCTGCGCTCGCCGACTCCTTCCCTCCCTCTGATAAGGCCCCTGTTGAGAGAGCTGGCTAGGAGTCCTGTGGAACTAAGCTGGGACCTGCTGTCTAACCACAGCTCTGAGCTCGGGGCCGCCATCCGCCACGTGCACCCCATGTTCCCAGCTTCCCACCCAGAGGAGCAGGAAGGGCGCAGGGTCGAGGCCTGGAGCCCTGCAGACCCTGGAGCGGCCGCGCCTTCGCTGTGGGCGGGCTGCAGCGTCCTCGCCAGGCAGAGGCGGTCAGGTGGGACGCGGCACTTGGGAGAACCCGGCTCCATCACGCGTGTCTCTAGCAGGTGAGGTCGGCATCCGCATTTGGAAGCAGGGTGTCGGGGGCCTGGGTGGAGGTCAAGGAGCGGATGGGTGGGGGAGCAGGGCGCCTAGTCTCGTCGCCCACGCCCTCCCACTCATCCGTCACGTCTGTGGCTGCTCGAAGCCTGGGCTTCCCCTCCGCTTAGCCAGGCCACAGCCAGGCTGGGTTTGAGTCAGGATTCCAGAGTGTTGACTGCATAGCTCTGGGCCAGTCCTGCGTGCTCCCTCACACACTCCTCGCAGCCCCATCCTGGACTCACTGCCAGAAGCTGTTTGCAGGATGAGGGGCCCTCTCAGTGTGAACTTCTAGATGTGATTTTGAGGTGTTAAAAATAGTTGTTGGCCTTTTCTTCCTTGGGGACAGTTTTAATTGTTGCACCATAACCAAAACACAACAGGTGACCAAGCAGATGGGACTGCTGAGCGCAGAGTGGCCAGAGCAGCGTGGTGGCTTTGTCATGTCAGCCTCTGTCTCCAGGTTCCTGTAGAGCCCAGGGAGCCTCGCTCGCAGCTTCCAGAATGGGAAACCTGCTGCCACCCAGTGTAGTCATCACGGGGAGGATTCTCATTTAAATTTCTCCTTTTTGTTTGTCAACAGAAATGTTTTCCTCCCTTTCTTTCTCTGGGGAAAAGGAATTCTGAAACGTACAGAGGCCGTGTTTCTGAGAACTGCCTTTCTAATGAGGGAATGCGGGTTTTTGAGAGAGAGAAGTAGTGCATAAAAGAGAGAGAAGTAGTTTTTCCATGAGAAACACATGCTTTTCGGGGTGCGGCTTCTTTAGGGCTCCCAAGGATTGGTGGGCTCCCCCAGACTCGGGTAACCTCTCCATAATGCTCGTGTGTTCTGTGCACAAATAGCATGTTACCCTAACTGTGGACGTTCAGAACGTTTTCATGAGGGATTCTCAGCTAAGAACGCTAGCAGTTGCTTTTTTCCCCTCGAATTGTGAATATGGCTTTCGTTCGTACAGTTCATCGTTGCGGCTCGCTAAGCCTCTACCTGGGCTGTGTGGTAGAGCAAGTGGCTCCTCCCTGTGAGTTGCTAGAAATGCAGTGAAAGCACATGTTGGAAGGACAGTCGCAGACCTCTGAAGGTGTCAGTGAAGCCTGCTGGCGTGGAGGCGAGGTCCCCGTGGGCCCCCGGGCACTTAGGGAAGTGGTCTGACCCCCGCTTGGCACACAGTAGAGTCCTGTGTCACAGATGGTGACATCCCCCTGTTCTGTCCCAGCAGCCGCGCCGAGGGAAGGCAGTGTTTTGTGACAGCACAGCCGTGACGCAGAGGCTGGTGGGCGCTTGCCTCCGTGAGCTCAGCTGTGCTTCCCTGGTCCTTCCCTGATGCCGCTCTGGGGCATCCTGGGGCGGCCGTCTCGGCGCACCACGCACTGGGGGCTCAGAGCAGCAGGGGCTCACTCTCTGTCCGCCTCGGAGGCTGGAAGCCGGGGCCTCTGGTGGCGGCTCCTGTCACTTCCCGTGTCCTCTCTGTGGATGTGCTCGTCTCCTCTCTTTGTCAGGATGCCGGTCCTGTGGGACTAGAGCACACTGTACCTCGTGATCCCATCCGCGACGACCGCGTTTCCAGGGGAGGTCACATTCCGAGGTTCTGGGAAGGACATGGATTTTGGGGGACACTTCACAGTGCATAGGGCTTGGGTTCCTTGGAACTTGGTAATCGAATGTGGTGTCTTACACAGCTTCTTGGGGGGGTCCCTGGCACGTGTGTTTGGTAACACTGAGGCACCAGAGTGCGTGCAGAGCTGGGAGGCAGCTTTGGTGAGCAGGTGAGCAGTCGGGGCCCTTGCTCACGGGTCTCCCGCACATAGGGCCTTGGGGATGCCCTCAGGCTCTCTTCCCTGCATCTCTTTAGTCGGAGCCATCGCTGTGTGGGGAGCGGGGCCCACCTGGCTCTGGGACCTGGACACTAGACACACAGTGTGTGGAGAGGCATGGTGGCCAGTCTTCCTCACTCAGAGGCTGAAGATTTCTGTGGTTTTTCTAGGTCAGTCACTATCAAGTCAAGACTAATTTTAAGAAATAAATTTTTGGCACTCAGTCTTCTGTTCTTTCCCTTGAACTTGAGGTTACATTAGCAGCGATGGTGGTTTTCATTCCTCTGGCTGATAAGCCCCACGCCACCCACCAAGGACGTGAGATCACCAGCTCTGTTTCCTTTTCCCACAGTGCCTCTCTGCCCCTCTGCGGGGCTCCTTGTTGGGAGAGCTGGAGTATGGTTTTATGATTTGAATCACCAGTGTCAGGATGGGCGTTCCGGGACGTGGGAAGGCACATAATGGTGATGGAGCTTCAGATCATTGTTTGAGGGAGGGGTGGTGGCAGCCAGACAGCTGGCCAGGGAAACACCGGAAGCAGGCTCAGAGGGACTATCTTTTTGGGGGTGGCTGAGAGGGTTTGCCTGCTGAGCACTGTCCCCCAGCACCCCAACATGGTGAGAGGACAGGTGGGTTGCCTTCCTTCCAGAGGAGATGAGCACCACAGCTGCCTGGGGACCCAGCGTGCTGGGGCAGGCACTGGAGGCTGCCTGGAGGCTCACCTTCACCCAAGGTCTCCTACGCATTCCTGGGTAGGGCCTCAGGTGCTGTGCAGGGCAGGGGACATGCTCCTGGGGGGTATGTGGCCATCTGTCCTCCACCCGGGTAGGTGCAGGGAGGCCTGGATGTTAACTGCTCTTCTTCTTGACACTTCTCCAAGCACCAAAGCTAGTGTGTTGACATTATAATTTTGTGCGGTTTTCTTGTGACCATCACATGTGAAAGATATTTATTTATGGGGGCAGAAGGGGAGAGAGTGAGGGGCAGGGGGAGAGAGAGAGCACGCCCCCACCAGGGAGGGTCAGAGAGAGGGAGAGGGAGAATCCCAAGCAGGCTCCAAACTGTCAGCACAGAGTGCTACGCGGGGCTCTGTCTCATGATAGATAGATCATGACCTGACGCTTGACCACCTAGACCCCCCTCAGGCGTCTCGCAAAGTAACCTCTTTATCAGTCATTATGTGCTGTCTTTTCTACCATTCATTACGCTAAGGTTGCTCCTCGGTGCTCCCAGAAAAGACAGGCGCGCTTCCGGGAAAGTCAGAGAAAGCAGCATTTTCAGGCAGCAGCCGCTCCCAGCACCTCTGAGAGCCCCCTGAGGGCAGAGCTAAAGCCTGAATCGCGCTCACCTCGGGGCGCACCTTCCTCTCCATGCCCAGCTCTCTCCGCAGGGGGACGGCTGCGACGCTCACCCAGCTGCGTCCCTGGTGGCAGGCAGGGTGGGTGCTGTGAGGGCTTGCTGTTGGAAGGAATATGTAGTATGAGGTCCCCAGAGAATTTAAAAACAGGTGCTGTGTAACTGTGTGAGTGTGTGTTTTTTTCCAAAGGGTGTAAGCCAGGTTTTGAACTGGAAAATTGGTTTTTACAAAGTGGAATTTAAATGTTAATGTTATACACCACTATGTGTTGTATACATTCATTTCCATTACCAAGTTTTTAAAATTTCATACAATGTCATTAATCCCTAGCAGCATTCAGGAGATTTCTCCCTGAGTGTGACAGTGTGGGGACAGGAGGGTGGGCTTTATTTAGGGTGTTCCTCTTCACTGAAGCGCGTCCCTGGAAGGGCCTCCCGGCGGCACATGGTTGCAGTCTCTCCCCTCTGAGCACTGCTGTTCTCGGCTCCTCTGTGACTGTGGTCGGTAGTGGGGCTCTCAGCTGTCACCAAAGTTGGTAAGCAGCCCAGAACCTTCCAAGTCAGCCCCTCAAACTTAAAGCCATTTGCATGGCACATGGCACCCACTCATTTACCATTGATTAATGGTTTGTGGTTATTTTAGACGTGGCCTGAAAATGAGAAAGCAAGGAGTTACCACCTCATTTGTGTATTTCCTTTTGTGCACGAGGCTACAACATGCAGCTGGAACAACCTTGGATTATTTTTCTTTCTGATCCCGTAAATCATCTCTCTCTTGTGCCTGTTGCCATTTTACCTAGATAACAGACATTTTGGTTGTCATTTCACAGAAGTCTTAGAAAAGAAACTTTTGGTACTTCTGTGAATTTAGGAAAACAAGTGCTCCCTTTGTTGTGATGGTCTCTGCCTGGTGGGCTTGATGGGAGGAAGTTTTAGGGATCAGGTGCCAGTTAAGCTCTCAGCAGGCAGTTTAAATGCAGCCCTGCTAGCAGTCAAAACAGGAAGTTGTTCAGCTTCATCTTCTTATTATGAAAGTTTTGAATTTCATCCATTTATCTTCCTGTGGACCAGGGAAGTTCCACGAGCCGCTCGAGAAGAGGTCATCCAGGTGAAGAGCGTTCTTGTGGCTCCCCCAGTGGTGACTGTTGTCCCGGCAGAGAAGAGGTCAAATGTCTAGTGAGGGTGTCTGTCTGCCACCTGCTCCTCAGTGGCCTGCCTGATCCCCAGGTTCCTGGAGGCGGGGAGGACTCTGGTGCCGGCCAGTCACATTCTGACAGTGCCCTTTCATGCGTGTGGTTGACAAGCATGGACGTCAGTAAGATGCTCTGCTGGGTCCCAGACGAACCATGGCAAGGCTGCGTGTACCTCTGGCCAGCAGAGGAGCGGGGGAGGGGATGCCACTCCCCGCGGTGTGCAGGGCTCTCAGGAACAAGGAATCATGTGGCCATAGGGACTTTTCATCGTGACCGAGGAGCAGAGAGGGGCACAGCGAGTCACAGAAGCCAGCCTCAGACGTTGGCAGTGATGGGAGTGTCTTTAGGTGCCTTAGGACCACGTTTAGTCCTCAAGGGCTGGAGAACGTGCTGTGTGCACAGTGGTCTGGGCTCGTAGCACAGCAGACACAGTAAATATCCAGTCTCTAAGACGTCAGAGAGCCGGACCAGGTGCAGGTGCAGGGGACTCTGGGTCCGGCTGCCTGGCTGGCTGGTTAAGGGCAGGGCCACTGAGGTCAAGTCTGAGCCAAGCCTGGGGAGAATGGGGGCAGCTGCAGGCACGGAGGCACAGCAGGAAGTGAGCTGCTTGGAAACGCAGCTTCAGTAGAGGCGTGTGCTTTGATTTCAGTCTCGACGTTCGGGCCCTTGATTGCTGTGTGTGAAGTGTGAGTGGACAGAGTTGAGTGTGAGTGTCCTGGAGGGCTGTGGGGGCCCAGCACCCAGCTGGTTGCCTTGTGGACTGGTCAGCTGCATGACCGGTAAACACACGAATCCATAACATCATGGGTGTACCTGTCGGCGAGGCTCTCAGCCCCGGGTTACGTGTTGTGTTCATGTTGCTCGCACGCGGCCAGGACGTAAGGAATGGCCTCCCTCTCGCCATCTTTTAATCCAGGATGTGTGCTTCCAGGTCACCTTTTCTATAAATTCGGAATCACGGAGTCTGACTGGTATCGAATCAAACAGAGCATCGACTCCAAATGTCGGACAGCTTGGCGGCGAAAACAGCGAGGCCAGAGCCTGGCCGTCAAGAGCTTCTCAAGGAGAACGCCGTCCTCGTCTTCGTACAGCACTTCAGGTACGCTTTGTTCCGAGTCCTCTGAGTGGTGCGGGGGGGACTCGCGGGGCGTGGGCCCAGCGCCGCCCGCAGCTCCCCCTCAGCGTGGCGACTGCCAGCCCAGCTCCGTGCACACCCCGTGGATGAGCTGTCTCAGGACCACTGTGGGGCTGGGGTGGGATTCCCAGAGCGCAGGGCTGTGCCGGGCCTGGCAGCGAGCAGCTGTGTTGCCTCCTCCCTCCACCAGGTTACCGAGCGCACTGCCGGCTTGTTGTCGTTGCTGGTGTCAGTGTGGGGGCTGTAGATGAAGGCCGGGGCCAGCACCGGGTTGTATGCTCATCACCGCTGCGCTGAGTTAGATTTGCCCACAAGAGAATGGGGACATTCTAGACTTTCCTTTCAGGTGTTGTTGGCAGACTGGCTTTTCCGTGGGGAAAGGTTCACTAGGAACGCCGCCGTGACTTTAGTGTTGTTTTTCACCTCACGCATCTCAAAGTGTTTTAACAAAAGCATTTAAAAAAAAAAATCTCCACAGTGGCTCCTTCAGCAGTGGCTCTTAGAACCTGAGGCCCCAACCGAGGCTGGGGTCGGGCTCCCAGGGCAGAGCGGGCAGGGTCAGCCGGACTCTTGCTCCGCAGCGCTGCTGTGACGGGCCCGGTCGCCCAGCGTCCTTGCGGGGTCTTGTCTTTCCGAAGCAGACCTCAGGCAGCACCTTCCCTCTGGTGGTTTTGGTAGTGACTTGCCAGCAGTGCGTGGCAGTGGGAAGTGGCCGCACGGGTGATGCCCCAAGCCATGCTTCTGTGAGCGGCAGCATTGAAGGGTCTCCCAGCGAGGAATCTGGGCCTTTCTGTTACAGCGAGGAATTCTGTCTTGGGAACTTAGGGAGGTAGTGATCGTAGGACGTGCTGGAGCAGTGGCTCCTTGAAGAAGAGCTGCCCCCGTGGGCTGTGGGAGGGAGGCACGGAGGCCCTAGACACAGGGAGGCGGGTGTCAGCTGGGCTGGGTTTGGTCCTTCCCCAGGGTCCGCGTGGCTTAGCGTGGAGCTGGTCCCGTGGTTAGCACTCAGTGCCTGTCCCAAGGGAACCAGGAGGCCTGGCAAAATGAGGCTTTCTCTGTGGACACGGCGTGCGCCCGTCTCTGGAGACAACACAGCCTCGACTCGGGACCCCCGGGCGGTGGCCGGAGCTACAAGTTTCTAACAAGCACATGGGGTGCCCTCAGGCTGGCCTGGACCGTGTTTGAGGGTCCGAGGGGTTGAGCCCAGCCCGTGGTGGGCTGGGTGGGCTGGGTGACCCCGAGTCTGCTTCCGACCCCCTGATCAGAGACTCGGGTGGTCTTTGCCTCCCACTCAGATGTGATTTCTGTTATGTGGCTGGCGACTTGATGACTTATTTTACACTTATAATTTTTTATTTCCCTTTCAGTTATTAGTGTTTCTTTCAACTAAATGAAAGTAAGTCAGTTTAATGGGACTGAGTTTCTTCAATTGTTTCTTTGGGACTGAGTTTCTTCAGTTGTTTCTTTGTTCATAAATATGTCCGCGTTTCTTCTGAGATGCTTTGGGATTGAGTAACTCTCAGGCGCCAGCGGCTTCTCGTGGGTGGTGAGTAGCCGCCGTGTGAGCGGCTGTTAGTTCCCCCGCGCCCCAGGCGGAGTCTCAGGACGTGGGACGCCTTGTTGGGAGTAGACTGTGTCTGGCGAACCCCGTCAGCTGGCCGACACCAGTGGCTTTGGAAGAGCAACAGAATCCAGCAGCACCTTTCGTGGCCCGCGCCACGGCTCCTTTCTCAGGAGCGCCACACACTTGCGTGCAGGGGCAGAGCCGCCCCGTCTTCCCGGTCTCAGAGGGTGGGCATGGTGCCCCCTCGAGAACACTGCCACCTCCACGGAGGTCCCTGCCGCCTGGTGTCTGGAGGAGGGACGCACCCAGCCACCGTGTGCAGGGAGGAGGAGGGTTCGAAGTGGTGCTTTTAAAAAGCCCCAGGAGGGAGATAAGCTCAGTTCTACTCCAGAGTCCCCGAGCGGGGAGGCCCCAGAATGCGTGCGAGAATGCGTGTGTTTGGAGCTGCTGCACCAGCCTCCTGCGCAGGCCGCTTCCTGCGCGGCTGTGGGCAGCCAGGGCTCCCTGCTGAGACAAACACAGAGCACGGTTTTCTTCTATCAAACTTTTAAAAAAGTACATTGCTTTGGAAATTCCTGTTGATGTAATTGTTTCCTCTTTTATTATATTGCCTACTTGACTAAAATTAGATAAAAACAGTGGGTGGTTAGCTACAGGGACTCTGGCCGCTTCTCCTGGCTCTGTTTATACACTCAGTCTCACAGCGGATCTGAGACTGAAGGCTCTTCTGGTGACAGAATAATCCAGGAAAATGCAGGTAAACCAGGATTCATGGCTTAATTTGGAATTGATAGTAATCCCAGCTGGGTTTGTCTTATTTACTTTTGAATTATCAGATTAAAAAGGAACTTACAAATAAATGCTCTAAAGGAAATTCTGAGCCAAGGCTAGTTTACTTAAAGCTGAATGAGTCCTGCCCGTTGGGATGCAAACCATACGATCACTAGTGTCAATGAATTCATAAAATACCCATTTAGTAAAACATTTGTATTGCACTGTCCCACCTGGCAACACTGTATAGACCTTTGTAAGTGCTTAAGTTAAAGATGGTAGCATTTCACGGTTTAAACTGCAGCCCAGCGCACTCCCTGCAGGCCTCGTCAGTGAGTTGAAGGCCTCAGGAGGGTGTCTGCAGTGCCCAATATTTTAGAGCTGCAAAGAAACAGCTCTTAACAGTCCAATGCCTGCCCATCTGTGTGTGCAGCTCTCTCTCCTCTGGACGCAGAGGGGGGCTCTTGGAGCAGCCTTTTGTATAATTATAGGGAGCTGTTGATTAATTGGCAGATTCAAGAATTTGAATCTTAGGTTTGGAAACCATTTACAATGCTACCCACATGTCCTGTCTTCTGTGGTTAGGTTAGAACCTTGGGGTTCTCATTCTTCTTGTATTTTTGGAGCATTTGAGAACTGGCAAGATCAGTTGATTTTTATTAACACTAGAGCAGGAATGTTTTAAAAAATTTTTTATGTTTTATTTATTTCTGAGAGAGAGAGAGAGAGAGACAGCATGAGTAGGGGAGGGTCAGAGAGAGAGGGAGACACAGAATCTGAAGCAGGCTCCAGGCTCTGAGCTGTCACACAGAGCCTGATGCGGGGCTTGAACCCACGAACCGTGAGATCATGACCTGAGCCAAAGTTGGACACTTAACCAACTGAGCCACCCAGGCGCCCCTTGAGCAGGAATTATTTGAGCATCTATTTAGTTAAGTAGTTCTTACTAACCTGCAGAATGGGCTTTAAATGTTTTGATCATGTATCATCTTTAAGAGGTTGGAAAGTGTGTATTCCTCCTTGTGTATTTTTAAGGGGACATTTTAAAACGTCGACACCTAAATTTTTTCATTATATTTTGAAATCACTTTTCAGTGATTTCAGTGATTCAGGATGCAATTTCTGACAGAATGCAAGTATTAACATTTTGACATCATCATGTTACTTTTTAAATTCAGTGAGGGGCACCTGGGTGGCTTGGCTCAGGTCATGATTTCACAGTTTGTGGGTTCGAGCCCTGCGTCAGGCTCTGTGCTGATGGCTCGGAGCCTGGAGCTGCTTCGGATTCTGTGTCTCCCCCTCTCCCTGCCCCTCCCTAACTTGTGCTTTGTCTCTCTCTTTCTCAGAAATGAACGAGCATTAAAAAAAAAATTAAAATGTATGCAGTGGAGTTGTATATACTGTGTCAATTTAATGCCCACAAAATAGATGAAAAATATACTCAGAGACATTTTACATCTTTCTTTTTTCTCTTTCATGTTAATAGTCCACGTCTCACCAAGTCTCGTCCTGTTGTGTTTACGTTTCCTCCTGTCTGCCCACTGTAATTCTCTGCAGAAAAATTGTATGCACAAAATCAAAATGTTTTTTCTGAGTTCTTTCTAAGCATTTAAGAAAATTCTCTTAAGGTATCATTACAACTAAAATTAATACACATCAACACAAATGTCTTGTTTCGGATTTAACAAAGGAAGTAAAGTTTTATTGGAAATATATCATTAAACAAGTGGATGGAGATTTTTTTCCGTAATGAGTTTAATTATCCATGAACAAATACTGCTTACTACCGGTGTGAAGCAGGGTGTAATACTAACTTTATTCCTCTGTTTCGTTTTCGCTGATAAACCCTGAGCAACTTCATTTAAACAAGTAGATGAGAATCCTGTGTCAGAATAGTCCATTCCTTAGACCCTGTTCGGAAGGGTCGGAAGCCCCCGTCCCCGGCACCTAGACCTCACGACCTCCACGGACTGCCAGGGCTCCTCCACCGGGACCTGCTGATGACTGTCTCGGAAGGAGGAATTTCCTTTCCTCTTTGCAGGCGCCTGGGGCTGGGATGGGAAGGAAGCCCAGAGGCGTGCATGTGGCTGGTCTGTCCCCAGCTGGTTACTGAGGCCTTCTGTTCTTCCCGCAGAGACCGTAATGAGCACGCCACCCCCCGCCAGTGAGATGCCGCAGCCCCCACCACAGGCCCTTCACTACGCCCTGGCCAACGCCCAGCAGGTCCAGATCCACCAGATCGGAGAGGACGGACAGGTCCAAGTAGTATGTACCCTTCTCGCTAGTCTGCCTCCACGGAGGCGAGGGGAGGCCGGGCAGGGTGTGGCCAGTGGGCAGGGCCACCACCAGCTTTCCGGGTGATGCCATGGTAGCTTGAGGTGAGGTCACAGTACGAGTTTAAAGAAGTAGTAGTTTGGGGTATCAGCTTTTGGGTCTCATAAATGAGGGCAGTTCCCAAGGGAACGTGTCCTTGTTGGTGGCCTCTTGTGGCTTCCCTTCATGTGCTGCCCGTCAGTGGCCTCTGTCAGCTCTGAGGGCCAGGCCGTTCGACCATCCCTGGTTTTGCTTGTCCTCCTGGGAGGCATTATAGATGCATCATAGATCATTTTCTCAGTTCAGAAACACAGGCACCCTTTTACTGAGGGAAGAAAAAGTAATTTCCTTCTGGAGTCAGTGGAGAAAGCTCGTGAGTGGCCTCAGGTGTCACAAAGCGCTTCCTTTGGACTCCTGGATGTATAGGTTCATGTGGGCAGTTAGCTCAGCAGTGAGCCAGCCAGCACCCCTGCCTCACCTGCCCAGGTAGAAATTCCTCCCGACTCTTCTTGGCTTCTACGGCTGGGGAGAGCAGGGGGGCGGGAACTTCACGAGGGAGCCGGACATTTCCGTGCCCCTGGGATATTGTTGGTGTTCCAGTCACACCCGGCTGCATGACCAGGCTTTCTCCTGGGAAAATCAGGGTGGCCTCCGTCTGACGTTGCACTCAGCATGCTGCCTGGGAAAGGGCCGGCTTCCGGAACCTGTTAATGATGCTTTTATAGGGGGTTTTATTCATCTTGCAGACGAGGTCGATAGCACAGTTATAAATGATGAATAGAAATAAATAGTGAATTCTTTGTTTAGTTGATAGTCACAAAGGCAATTATTCTTACCTTACTAGTAAGAAAGTTCTTGAAAGAACTGCAGAATAATTTCAAAACAAATACAGTAAAATGACAGCAAGAGAAAATCGTGCAGTGGTGTTGAGCTGTGTTGGCATTTATAGGAGTTGTTTGTCTGCCTGTGTCTACAAACATAAGCGTGTTTTAGGGGCATCTGCGTGGGTCAGTCAGTTAAGCATCAGACTCTGGCTCAGGTCATGATCTTGCGGATCATGGGTTTGAGGCCCACATCAGGTTCTGTGCTGACAGCTCAGAGCCTGGAGCTGCTTTGAATTTTGTGTCTCCCCTCTCCCCTCCCCTGCTCATGCTGTCTCTCTGAAAAATAAACATTAAAAAATTTTTGAAAGAAAATGTTACTCTAATTTTCTGGGAAATTTCTGTTTCCCTTCTTTTCCAGATGACCTTCACATTCTTAAGCTTGCCTGTTTAGTAACATTTAAAGACTACAGATTTTTGTAGGCTCCATTAAGTTACCATAAAATGTCCTACATGTGTCACATACTGGAAGTGTAATTTCAGGAGGCTGTGCAGTGAGCTTATACCGTGTGCCTACTGTACTATTCAGGATTTAGTTGTCCTGAATTGTCAGCAGGTAACCAAGAACAAAAGTTTCAGAAAGCGTTTCTTGTTTCCTGTGGCTTTGAGTTTCTTCTGATGCTCCTTGGTGTCTTCTCTTGTTGCGGATCCCACAGGGCCACCTCCATATCGCGCAGGTGCCACAGGGGGAGCAGGTGCAGATCACGCAAGACAGCGAGGTGAGTGGAGGCCTCCATGGCTGCCCCGGGACCACCCTGTGTCCAGGGCTCCTTCCATGGAGGGAGATGGGTGGGAGTCTCCAGATGACACGCGTGTCCATCGGTGACCACCTGACTTCTGCTTCCTCAGGAGGCGATGGTGCTGGAGGGGAGGGACCGAGGGGACAGGGTCTCACGATGTGTCAGGAGGGAGGTGCTTTTACCTGGAGGCCTCGGGCTGTGCATGTCCAAGCCTTGTGAGCGGGCCGTGTGCAAAGGGAAGAGGCGCAGAGGTTCTGAAGGGCGAATAGGGCTACGCCGCTGAAGGGGTGCCTGCCTGGTCCCGTGAGACTCAGGACTCACTCGGGAGCACAGCTGCTGGCTGGTGGGTGGGCAGGTGAGCAAAGGAGGAGGCCGTGCTGGGTGCTGGGTGGGGCAGCAGACAGTTGGGTTGCAGGAGGCCTGGGGCGGGGTGTTCCCTTGCGGGGGCGGGCCCGGGGGAGGGGGGAAGCTCTGTTGAGACACAGAGGCCCAGCCAGGATCCTTCACCATGCAGCGCGCTTAATTTGCCGGTAGCCTCCAGAAGGAAGCTCCACATAGATTTGCTTTCGTACTATTTTTGCTAAAAAATCATAAGGCTACTTAAATTTCATTTTTTGGATCAACTTTGCCCTTTCTTTTAGATTTCGTAAGTGCTTCCCTCTTGTTCACGCAGTCCAGCATTTTTTGTTTCTGTTAGAATTGAGTGCAGGAAATTAGAAGAAATGGCTGATGCCACTAATGATTACTTTGTAATAAGTTACAGTATGTGATTAGTCTTACCACAGTTAAAGCCTTACCTTGTTTATTTAAAAAGTAAACGTTTTATCACAGTGAAGGTATCTGCGAGGGCAGTTACAGCAGAGCCCACCAGACCTAAACCGGTCAGTTTTCATGAACAGATGACCGTGCATTTCCACCTGGTGAGACGCCAGTGGGCCCGTGTCTGATTGGTTGTGTTGTGTCCCGTGTCCTCCTCTGTCCCCGTCAGAGGCGCTGGCTGTGGGAGAATGCGGGACCTCTCCGTGCTGCTGCTGGTTCAAAGTTGTTTCAAAATGAAGTGTTAGGGGAAAAAATGACATTTTCATTTGGGGTCAGGATGGGGGAAAATGAGCACAATGGTTTTAAGTTTTTCTTCTGAAAAGAAGAAAGATTATCTGTAAATTCAATTTTAAAATATTTTGTTGTAGAGTTTTTATTGCTACAAGGGGCTGAACTTTTGTAGAACTGATGTTAGTGCTTTTGCTGGTTATTCACACGTGGCACGGGGTGCTCCCGCCCCGGCCCATCGCGTCTTGAACTTGTTCTCGTCCTTGATTTCTCCTTTTCTCACCCATTCTGCAGGGCAATCTCCAGATACACCACGTGGGACAGGACGGGCAGGTGAGTGTGCCTGTTCTCGCCGCCGTCGGCTTGCTGTGTGTATCGCCAGACCTTGCGCCGCCGTGGGGCCAGGCGGGGAGCAGGAGGGTGGTGTGGCATGAACTCCCCTCTGGCCACAGACACCCTGAAGGATGTGGACACGTGGACGGTGGGGCTCTGGCTACATTTGTTTCTTCGTGGGATTTTATGCAGCTCTTTGTAGATGGAGCTCTACCGTCTCTGTCACTGTCTGTTCGTTTACACGAACGTTGTTGTTGGCTAGGTTGGTGCCGTAGCTGTCTCTTAGAACGAGGCTGGTTTGTTCGTGTATGTTACTGGCAAATGCCAGTCGCCACCTTTTTATTTTTTTTAAATTTTTATTTATTTCTGAGAGAGAGAGAGAGACAGCATGAGCAGTGGAGGGTCAGAGAGAGAGGGAGATACAGAATCTGAAACAGGCTCCAGGCTCTGAGCTGTCAGCACAGAGCCTGACGTGGGGCTCGAACCCACGAACGGTGAGATTATGACCTGAGCCGAAGGCAGACGCTCAACCAACTGAGCCACCCAGGTGCCCCCAGTCACCACCTTTTTAAAAACCTCTGACAAAAGTAACGGAACAGCCTTTGAACACCTGATAGGAATTGTCTCTCCACAGTAGCCTGCCCCAGCTGTGAGGGTTGCAGGCCTTGATTTGCTTTCTGGATGGAGTAAAATTGCTGGTGGATTTGAGGATGGATGTTTTTATGTCCTTCTGAAGAATTTCTATTAGACGTTTATAATCTTCAAATAAGTATGGAAGAGACTCTGAAGAATTTTTCTTTAAAACGTGACTTATGTGCCACAAACAGAGCTCATTTAATGTCGAGATGGTACTTGCTGTTCTCAAAACCAGCCACGTTCTCCCCTTTGTGAAACACTTATGTGCGTTCCTGTTGTTCGTGGCGGTGGCCTGGTGGCTGCTGTGCATGGGGCACGAGCATGTGTGTCCCTGGGATCAGAAGTGGGAGGACAGTGACACCTCCTGGGTCTCATCTGGAACCCTCCGAACACGTTGGGAGAAGTGCAGCAGACCTTAAATTAAATCACTTGTTTAGATTGGGTTCCTGGGTTTCCAGTTTCATCTTGAAACCTGCACATGAGGTTTTTGGTGGGTTTTTTTTTTTTAATGTGTTTTATTTATTTCTAGGAGAGAGAGAGAGACAGCGTGAGCAGGGGAGGGTCAGAGAGAGAGGGAGTCACAGACTGAAACAGGCTCCAGGCTCTGAGCTGGCAGTCAGCACAGCGCCCAACGCGGGGCTCGAACCCACGAACCGCGAGATCATGACCTAAGCGAAAGTCGGACGCTCAACCGACTAAGCCACCCAGACGCCCCGAAACCTGCACATGAGGTTTTTATCAGAGTCCTGAAGCGGCAGGAAGCCAAGCAGTGTCATCCCGAGCCTCCCCACGTGTATTCCTGGAGCCCTGACTTGCAGACGGGGTCGTTGGCCCAACCTGTGCAAGCTGGTTCTCAGCAGGTTTGCGCTGGTGTTTCTCTTGGTCAGGCACCGGGGTGTCCCGCCTGGTGGGAGAGGACGGTCGTCATCTGTAGTTTATCTCTGGTTTTGACAACTTAGTGGCTTGTATTTATACTGGGAGTGAAATTTCATCCTAATTGAAATGTCGCTGAACTTTATAATTCGTGAGGAAAGAAAGTATGTTACATTTGATATTCTCGTTTATACCCCTGTTCCTGAGCAGGATTCCACATGGGGCTTTTGAGAAATAATTGGGTTTTTATATTGTGTGAGTACCGTGTGGGTGTGTGTGATCGTAGACCGCATATCCCCACACCCCCCAAGAGCCGAGTGGGTGTGTGTGATCGTAGACCGCATATCCCCACACCCCCCAAGAGCCGAGTGGGTGTGTGTGATCGTAGACCGCATATCCCCACACCCCCCAAGAGCCGAGTGGGTGTGTGTGATCGTAGACCGCATATCCCCACACCCCCCAAGAGCCGAGTGGGTGTGTGTGATCGTAGACCGCATATCCCCACACCCCCCAAGAGCCGAGTGGATGTGTGTGATCGTAGACCGCATATCCCCACACCCCCCGAGAGCCAAGCCAAGCCTCTGTGGATGAGGCGACAGCGCTGGTGTCAGCTCAGGAAGGACTCCTGTGGTGGCCGTCAGAAGAGCCGCTCTGAAAATTCCCCAAACCGGGGAGTTTTCCTGTGCGCGATTCCCCAGTGCTGCCTCGCTGGAGTCCCCCATCACGCCCGGGCCAGCCCTCCGCTGGCAGCCCTTCCTTCCCAGGCGTCCGACCGTCCGGAGCCCTCTTTGCTGCTTTGCCGCCTCCCTGAAAGTCCCCAGAGCCGCCGTCCCGACCACCGTCTGTCACACAGATGATGATCTGTGAGTCCTCTGATTTTGTTTGCCTGCGAAATCTCATGCCCCCTTCCACCTCGGCCTGAGCCTCACTGTGCGCCGTGCCCGTGGGCCTCCAGCTGCAGACACGCCTCGGCAGGCAGGGCCACCACTGGTGGCGGCTGGAGGGGGCCTAGGGTCTCTGGCTTCAGACTGAAGGAAGCAGCGCGCGCTCGCCTGGGGGTCGGAGTTGGCAGTGCGCGCTCGTGTAAGGCTGCCCTTTTCCTGGCAGGTCCGTTTAGCTACTCCTTCCTTGTTCTCCGTTTGTGGGAATTCCTTTTTGTTATTTTATCATTTGAATGGTTCTTGTTCGTACTAATTTCCCCTGCTTGTGGCAGCTTCGTTTTTTAACTTAGCCAAAAACTGGAGAAGAGAATGATGTTTCGCAAGACACAGAATGTCCTGCGCATCTCGACGTCACCGATGGGGTGACCGAGCAGCGGGCCGTGCCGGAGGCAGGAGCGCCGGGGGCTCACTCTCCCGCCCTCGCCTCTGCAGCCTGTTGGCTCCATCTCTGTGCGCCAGCCTCCCTCCCCACCGGGCCTCCCCTGCCCACGGGAGGACAGTGCCAGAGTGCGGCGGCTCCTTCCCCTCCAGACGGGGCCTCCCCAGGCTCCCCGGCCTGGCGTGCGTGCTGGTGTTTGGTTTACTGAAGACTGACCACACTAGGCTGGTTCCAGTTTTGGGGGGCAGAGGTGTTGAATGGGCACCTCAGCTCTGGGAAGAGAATAGCCGCCTAGATTCCAGAAGCCTGTAAGGAAGCGACGTGTTCTTGTTCTTTCGGAGTTCACAGATCCACCGCTGGTTTCATTAGCTTAGCGTTCAGCTCTTTCTCGGTAGGTCCGACAGTCACTGGGGCTCATTATGCAGCAACGCTCCAGACCAGCCGAGAGCCGGGCAGGGGCCGGTGCCCCAAGAGCCCACCCTCTTGTTCACTCACTTCCTGACCGGGACTGCCAAGCCCCTCCCCCTCTCTCTTCTGCGGGGCCCCAGCCGCGTCATCCTTGGTTTCCTCGCTTCTGCCCTTCAGGCAGGCGCTGCCGCTCTCGCTCGCTTGGGGACGTTACGTCCTGAGTCAGGGCACAGCCTCTGTGAACGCACTTCTCTGTCATTTCGTGGACGGGAGAGGGAGGGACACGCGTGCTGTGCTTGTTTGCTGCCACAGGTGGGCTACAGATGCCACGTCTGGAGCGAGGGCAGCACCTCTGTCGGGTTGGCTGCCCTGCGTTCGCGTGGCCCCGTGCTGTGGGTCTGCAATGCCGCCCCCGCCCTGCCCCGTCTGTGCGCCTCAGACTACATGTGGGGAGATCCTAGTCCCATTCTGTGTGGAGCCCCTTGGGCTTCAGCTCACAGGGCGTGGCACCTGGCAGTGGCTGTGGGGCCACAGGAGAGTGCGCCGGGTGCTTTAGAGACACGACCTTACGGCATTTGTGTCCCTTGCTCCCCAAGTGTGGGAGAGAAGGATCAGGAGGGACAGCTGACTTGCAGCCCAGTGGAGACCCGCAGGTTTACTGGGAGGCCGCATTCCGGGGGACGGTCATGGAGAAGAGCAGGTTCCAGGTGGTCGCGGGCCAGGTGGCACACTCAGATTTCCTGTTCTGTTCCCGCTGTTTCTGGCTGTGTGCATCTTCTTGCAGTGATCACTTCCTAATCCCTCCTGCTCTGTTTTGGGGGAGCTAGACGGTTAGGTTTGTTAGGGTTGAAATTAAAATGTAGTCATTAATTCTAGACGGGCTCTGGGCTAGGGCGCCTTCTGGGAGTATGACACAGGGGCCTCAGGGCCTGTGGCCCTGTTCCCGAAGCTCCCTGTTGTTCAGGGCGGCACTTGGTTGGGCCGGTCCCTGCTGTGCTGATGTCTGTTGCCCCCGTCTGAACAAGGACCTGCAGGGCACAGGTGACTTCTTACACTGCCTTCTGGGCTGTCGTCTTTGTTACTCAGTGAGCACTTCAGGGGTGACCTTTCCTGCTGTGGGAACAGCGAGCAAATGAGCAGAGGGGGTGCTGTGAACTCGAAACGGTGAAGGGGTGGTATCACCTGCATGGTAATTAAAGGAATTGTGGGATCTGTTTGAGGGGGTGGGTTTCGTGTAGCAGACCAGATCAGGAGCAGAGGAATGTGGGATTCTCAGGAGGAGGCCAGAGACAATCCTGCACATGGCGAGCCACAGAACACGAGCTGGATGTGTGGACGAACTGTGTCTAAAAAATGTGAGACACGTGCGCGGTTCGTGGGTTCGGGCCCCGCGTCGCGCTCTGTGCTGACTGCCAGCTCAGAGCCTGGAGCCTGTTTCAGTCTGTGACTCCCTCTCTCTCTGACCCTCCCCTGCTCACGCTGTCTCTCTCTCTCCCCTAGAAATAAATAAAACATCAAAAAAAAAAAAAAAGAAATAATGGCCTTTCTCAGGTCATGGGAGCTTTTACTCCGAGAGATGTGCTTGTGCAGGGGGTCCGGGGCCGCTCCAGGGAGGTGTCCTTGGTGCAGTGGTTGTGCCCCCCGGCTGGGCCTTGGCTCCGGGTCCTCCTTGCGTCTTGGGCTCGTCCTCACTCACTGTGGCCTGAGAACAGTCAGGTTATGGGGTGGAGCACATTGCAGCCTGTCTGCCGGGTGATGCGTCT